AGAGGAGAAGAGAAGAGAGCGAAAGAGACGAGAATCCTAAAACACACAGGGCAGAATGTTGCTTTAGCCAAGCTACACAGTGAATATCTACTAAAAGTTTGACTGGTTTAATATGGATTTATTCCCAGGTAATTGAAAGTCTTATTTCAGTTGGAAGAATTCTAGACAATGCTCTGCTTGCCAAGGGGTTGCAGCAAAATGGGGTGAGAGAGATCCGGAAAGAAGTGGGCTCTCCGGTTATTTGGAATGAATCCCCGGAATTCCTTATATGCCTGGATTTCTGAACCTCAACAACTTTAAAATGTGTGGACTTGGACTCTCTGAATTCCCCACACACCTTACAATTGTTGAGATTGTGGAAATCTGAAGACCATATGGGAGATCAAACCCATCCTAAATGTAAAATCTGAATTGCGGATTATTACCTTACAAAACGCTTTTGGAGAAAACATATATTTTTGCCAAACATATATTTTTGTTTGATCATGATCAACTGAATCATGATGACTTTATTGGAGTCTAGTCTTGCATTTATACACATTTTTAGTAATCCTCCAACATTGGTTAATTTTGGTGAGTTGATAGTGTAATAGTAAATAAAATAAATAAATAAATAAATAAATAAATAAATAAATAACCCTAACCAGTCCTTGAAAAAGTTTTCCTGCGTGAAACTGGTCCCTGGTACAAAAAAGGTTGGGGACCACTGATCTAGTCCAAACCCCCGCCCAGCAGGAGACCCTACACCATTTCTGACAAATGGCAGTCCAATCTCTTCTTGAAAGTCTCAAGTGATGGCGCTTCCACAACTTCCGAGGGCAAGCTGTTCCATTGTTTGATTGTTCTCACTGTCAGAAAATTTCTCCTTATTTCCAGGTTGAATCTCTCCTTGTTCAGTTTCCATCCATTATTCCTTGTCTGGCCTACAGGCACTTTAGAAAATAGCTTGACCCCTTTCTCCCTGTGGCAGCCCCTCAAATATTGGAAGACCGCTATCATGTCTCCCCTGGTCCTTCTCTTTACTAGACTAGCCAAGCCCAGTTCTTGCAACCGTTCATTGTATGTTTTAGCCTCCATTTCCCTAATCATCCTGGTTGCTCTTCTCTGTACTTTTTCTAGAGTCTCAACATCTTTTTTATAATGTGGTGAACAAAACTGGATGCAGTACTCTAGGTGTGGTCTTACTAAGGGTTTATAGAGTGGTATTAATACTTCCTTTGATCTTGATTGTATCCATCTATTAATACAACTTAGGATTGCATTAGCTTTTTTGGCGGCTGCTGCACACTGTTGGCTCATATTTAGCTGGTTGTCCACTAAGACTCCAAGATCCCTCTCACAGTTATTGCTACTGAGCCTGGTTTCACCCAGTCTATATGTGTACTTTTGGTTTTTCTTGCCTAAGTGTAGGACTTTACTTTTCTCTACATTGAATTTCATTTTGTTAGATACAGCCCAGTGTTCTAGTCTGTCAAGATCCATCTGGATCTTGAGCCTATCTTCTTGGGTATTAGCTATTCCTGCCAGCTTAGTATCATCTGCAAATTTGGTAAGTTCCCCTTCGATTACCTCATCTAAGTCGTTAATGAAGATATTGAAGACTACTGGACCTAAGACGGAACCTTGTGGCACCCCACTGCTTACTTCCCTCCATGCAGACTTAGACCCATTAAGGACTACTCGTTGAGTACGGTTTGCCAGCCAGTTGCGAGTCCATCTAGTGGTGGTGCTATCTATTCCACTTTTTTCTAGCTTACTAAGAAGTAGGTTGTGGTCTACTTTGTCAAATGCCTTGCTGAAATCTAAATATATTATGTCCACAGTATTTTGCTGGTCTACTAATTTAGTCACTGTGTTGAAGAATTAAATACAATTGGTTTGGCATGATCTGTTCTTAACAAACCCATGCTGACTGCTAGTTATTACTTTACTTGTTTCTAGATGTTGGCAGATCTGTTTTTTTTTTATTATCTTTTCCAGTATCTTCTCAGGTATTGATGTTAGGCTGATTGGTCTATAGTTTCCTGGGTCTGTTTTTTTTCCTTTTTTGAAGATGGGAACCACATCAGCTCTTTTCCAGTCCTCTGGTAGTTCCCCGGTGCTCCAGGATTTTTGAAAGATATGGTGCAATGGTTCTGAGATGACCTCTGCCAGCTCCTTTAAAACTCTGGGATGTAATCCATCAGTCCCCGGTGATTTGTTTTCATCAAGATCAGACAGGTGTTCTCTTACTATTTTTTTTAATGCTTATTTTAACTTTTATTTCTGGTCTGTCTTTTACAGTTATGTTTTTGGTGGGTTGAGCTATAGTTTCTTTTTGCGTGAAGACGGATGCAAAGAATGAATTAAGCAGTTCTGCTTTCTCTCTGTTGCCTGTTACTTCCTTGCCATCTTCTTCTCTCTTTAGTGGACCAACTGTTTCCTTGATTTTTTTCTTGTTATTTACATGTTGGAAGAAACTTTTTTTATTATCTTTGACTTTTGTTGCAAATCTTTGTTCATTCTGAGCCTTTGCTATCCTTACTTCATCTTTGCAGATTCTGGCTATCTGCTGATATTCTGCCTTAGTTTTATGTCCTTCTTTCCATTTTTTGTACTTGTCCTTTTTTTCTTTCAATTTTACAGAGAGATCTTTGTGCAGCCATGCTGGTTTCTTCTTGGATTTCTTGTTTTTCTTTTTCAGTGGTATTGTGCTGGTCTGGGCTTCTATGATCATACTTTTTAGAGTTTCCCAAGATTCTTGAGTTGTTTTCCCTTTTAGGATTTTCATCCATGGAATCTTTCCCAAGTTCTCTCTGAGTTTATTGAAATCAGCTCTTTTAAAATCTGTTGCTTGTGTTTGTGTTATGTTGAATTCTAGTATGACATGGTCACTCTCACCCAAGGTTCCTGCAGTTTTAACTCCCTCTATCACTTCTTCTCTGTTTGTAAGAATTAAGTCCAGTATGGCTATCCCTCTAGTTTCACCCTCTACCTTTTGGACAACAAAGTTGTCAGCTAGGTTGGTTAGGAACTTATTTGATTTCTCACTTGGTGCAGAATTAGTTTTCCAATTGATATCAGGATAATTGAAGTCTCCCATTACTATTGTTGTGTGTTTCCTGCATATGTTTGTTAGTTGGCTGGCAAAAAGGACATCTATTTTTTCTGCTTGATTGGGTGGCCTATAATATACACCTATGACCATGTCATTCTTTTTTTTCTTTTATATTGACCCATATACATTCTAGAAGGTTTTCATCTTTGGTTTCATGTATTTCTGTAGCAATATAGTGGTCCTTTACATACAGTGCAACTCCACTTCCTCTTTTATGGGGTCTGGTTTTTTTGAACAGTTTGTATCTTTCTACCAGTATGTTCCAATCATGGGTTTCATCCCACCAGGTTTCTGTTATTCTAACTATATCATATCTATCTTCATGTATTCGTAGTTCGAGTTCACCCTGCTTGTTCCACAGACTTTGTGCATTTGTATATAGGCACTTGAGATCTTTATGTCTGACACTGTGTTTACTGTCTACATAACCTGTGTTGTGCCTGCCTGCCCCTACTTTCTTGCCACCTGTTTGATTAATGCACATGGTATGGCACTCACTATTAAATGCTTGGTTTTGGTTGGCCTGACTGACTCAAGGTTGACTTGTAGAGTTGTAATTGCAGGAATGTTCCAATCTCGGATGGCAAACCTCAGATAAAGAATGTTTCCAAGCAAATACAACTCAGGTAAACAAAGTCACTAATCTAAAGGAGGATTAGAGAGAGGAAGTAAACATATGTTAGACTTTAACTAGAGATAATTAATTGTATGGATTACTGTGCTAAACAGTAACGAAAGTTAAGCAGTAACCAAAGTTAACCAGTGATGGAGGATAACTAAAAATGTGTATAATTGCAAGACTAGACTCCAATAAAGATCATCATGATTCAGTTGTTCATGATCAAACAACTCGACTGCCTCGTCATTACAACATTGACTCAGACTTCCATCCTTCTGAGGTCGATAAAATGAGGACCCAGATTGCTGGGGGCAATATGCTGATTCTGTAAGCTGTCCAGAGATGACTGTAAAGCACTGTGGAGGTATTGCTGTTGAAGTTATAAGGCAATGAATAAGCATGAATATGGCTCTATTGTGAGTTAATTCATACAAAAGATGCAATAGCACTAAAAAACCCTTCCGTTCTATAGCAATTGACCTCGTTAGCCCAATGTTTTTTTCACAATATGGCCTTCTGAGTGGCAACACCCTAGAGAATATTGTATGTATCAGTGGTGGGATTCAAATATTTTTACTACCGGTTCTGTGGGCGTGGCTTGGTGGGCGTGGCAGGGGAAGGATACTGTAAAATCTGAGGTCAGAGGTGGTATTTGCTGGTTCTCTGAACTACTCAAAATTTCCATTACTGGTTCTCCAGAACTGGTCAGAACCTGCTGAATATCACCTCTGGTATATGCAATGGTTAGGAGTGAAAGGGAGGGGGAGCAGAAAGAGAGAGAGGGAGAGACAGAGAGAGAGGTATCACAACTTGTGAGTCTTTGCATTTCCAGCTTGTAAAAATATATTCATGGACCACAAAATGGGACAAGTGAATTCTTAGGGAGCTACCTGAAATTTTGCCCCTTTATTTATAAATTATATTTGTAAAGCCAACTAAGTCAGAACATTTTAGTCTCTTTGGAAGGGAATAAATTGGCTGTCTAATCCAGCACAGCCAACTTTAATTAGCAAGTTCTCTGGGTTTTCAAGCAGAGATTTCAAAACTTTGTTACTTTTTAAAACCCTTTAGACCTGCCACGGATTGGACATGGGGCTTTTATATGCAAAGCACATGTTCAACCACCAGATCATAGATCCTCCCCCAAGCTTCCACTGTGACGGTGATTTTAACATCTTGCTCTTTGGGTGAGGAAGAAAGCCATTGTTAAAAGTATCTCTTTATCTTCTTCTTCTTTTTTTCTTTCTCTCCCTCACTCCCTTTCTTTCTTTCCTCTTCCTTCCTCTGCTTTCCAGGCCATGCTTTCTGATGGATGGACTGTGCGCCTTGGGATTCTGCTTATGCTCCAAGGAATGACGAGTGGGGAGAAGATAACAGAGACTGGTAATGCGGGGACTTTTATGGAGGGATAGAGTTCTAAACTTTGTCCATATTGCAGTTCTATATTGATATGCTTTCCCAACTTTTTCCGCTCACAATGTCATCCAACATGCATTGACTTAGTTGTATGCATCTGTTGTGGATTCAGTGAAACCTGCATCCATGCAGTGACACTGGTCTGAGGTTGGCATCCATTGTTTATTCAGGTGACTTAGAGATTTCCAAGATGGAAAAATCAGGTTGAAAGAGATGATCAGGAAAGAATGTTGGCAAACTGGGGTCATTGTCAGATTTATTGGCTGTGGGTAACTTTTGTATTACTACTGTATTGTACTGCGCTACTGTTGTATTTGGAGGGAGAAGAATTTAGAATCAGAAAAGGAGAAAGTCCAGAGAATCTAGGAAAGAGTTTAAGGAGATTTTAGTGGAAGGCCTCTCTAATCACTACCCATTGGCCACTAAGACATGCGTGACATTTTTGTTGTACACCACCTAGAGTCACTTGCTTTGTGAGACGGGTAACTTTATTAATTGGACAACTAAATAATTCATATGTTCATTTCCTGAGTGACTTGACTGCTAAACAGTGAAACCTCTGGGTGAAATGAGGACCCAAATTGTTGGGGGGCAATAAGCTGATTCTGTAAACTGCTTAGAGAGGGCTGGAAAGCACTATAAAGTGATATATAAGTCTAAGTGCTATTGCTATTGCTATTCCAAAGGCAGATTTCTGCTTGCAAGCCTCGCTGGCGATCTGAACCCTGTCGCCAGTGGTAGATTGGAAGCTTTCCTGCAAATTATCCCAGTTATCATTTAAGCTTTTATTTTCAATATCCTGAAAGACAGAGATTGCTCTTCTTCTTCTTCTTCTTTTTAAGATACCGGGATGAGAAAAATGAATAAGTTTTTGTTTGACAAACTTATACTTGGCTGCCTTACAGGATTTATCCCAGAATGAACTAATTACTCACACACCCTTGATGGAAATGTAACATAAATATGTACAAAACCTTGACATTCAAAGCCGGTGCCAGGCAGCACAGTCTCAGAAGGGCCACTCTTTGCTAGTCCAGCTTGCCACTAACCGAACAACAGATTGAAAATCCTATTGGGCAGCCCCACCCAATCCATTTTCCAAGGGAATGGCTTTACCCTTAACTTGACAGATCCTTGCTTTAGGGCTTCTTTGGGAAGTGGATCCAAAGAAGGAGACGGGAAGGATGTGTGCAACTTTATGGATTTTTGGGAAAGTAGAATGAGGAAGGGAGAACAGGAAAGAGATGAAGGAAGACTTGGTGGGGAGAGTGACAGGTGTCATTGTGGTCCCTTGTGTTTCCTTTTCAGGATCCTGCCAGCCACAGCCTTCCTGCCATGAGTGCATTCAGTCCCACCCTAGTTGTGCCTGGTGCAAGCAGCCGGTGAGTCCTCAATCGCGTGAGCCTCTCTTGCCATCTATTCCCCTCCCTGCCCCGTTTCCAACGCCACCTTTGAGGGACTCGGAATGCATTTGGTCTAAGAGCAGCATCCAGAGCTGAAAGATGTGGGTAACTTGTGGTTAAGAGGGTCTTTAGCGCTCTCTTCTCTAGCCAGCTGATGAAGAGAAAATACATTCCTAGCAACCCGAAGCAGGAATATTATCTTACCTGAACCTGCTGCCTTTGTGCTTTGGATCTCTTACTTCCTGGGGGTGGGGAGGGGGCTCGTTGATTGGAGTAGTCACGCTGAGCTGGAAAGTGAACCATGAGGAGGAACCTGGGGGCTTTTGAGTTGAGGAGTTCTTGGTGAGGCTAAGCCAGGCAGCTGCGTCCTTTGCCAAGGTGCAAGATTTCCTTGAAGGCAGCAACATCAGCAGACGGCAACTGGCAAGGCTGCCCTCTGATTCACCCCTTCCCTTTCAGTCTCAGCCGATGTGTGAAGACTTGAGTCAGCAAGACTCAACAGCAGCTGCCCACTCCAGTCAACCGTGGGAAGATGGAAGTTTACTTTACTTTACTTTACTTTACTTTATTTATTTTGTCAATTGCTTACAAGATAATAGGTATAAGTAAAAACATAGTCATGAATACGTGGATACATATAAGAAAAAAAGAAAAGAAAAGAAACAATAGGACAGGGACGGAATACACATTGGTGAGCTTATGCAGGCCTCTTAGGAAAGGGGTGAGGTCAATAGTAGACAGTCTAAGGTTAAAGTTTTGGGGGTTAGGGGAAGAAACCACAGAGTCAGGTAGAGTATTCCAGACATTGACCACTCTGTTGCTGAAGTCGTATTTCCTGCAATCAAGTTTGGAGCGATTAATCTTGAGTTTGTATTTATTGTTTGCTCTTGTGTTGTTATGGTTGAAGCTGAAGTATTCATTGACAGGTAGGACATTGCTGTTTTGTGGGGGGCTGGCTAAGTCTTCCTTCTATGGTTTGGGGTTTTCCTAATCTCTTTTGGAAATGTTCCCCAAAACGAAGCACTATAGGAACAGGCAACGGGACAGGCATATATTTTTTTCCCCAGCTTTGACACCCATCTTCATTCCTCTTTGTTATCTGCTCTCTTCCCTGACCCTCTCTAACCACTCCAGACCAGTACAGGCAGTAATTGGCTTGAGAGAATTATTTGTTTAGCAGAGTGATAAATATTTTCACAGCCCTCTTTTTGACTCGTGCAGTATACAGATCCTCGATGGAAGGCAGGTTGATAGCAATTGTTTTTTCTGCAGTCCTAATTATCCTCTGAAGTCTATGTCTGTCCTGTTGGGTTGCAGAACCAAACCAGACAGTTATAGAGGTGCAGATGACAGACTCAATAATCCCTCTGTAGGACTGGATCAGCAGCTCCTTGGGCAGTTTGAGCTTCCTGAGTTGGCGCAGAAAGAACATTCTTTGTTGTGCTTTTTTGATGACGTTTTTGATGTTAGGTGTCCATTTTAGGTCATGTAATATAGTAGAACCTAGAAATTTGAAGGTCTCTATTGTTGATACGGTGTTGTCTAGTATTGTAAGAGGTGGTAGTGTGGGAGGGTTTCTTCTAAAGTCTATCACCATTTCTACGGTTTTGAGTGTGTTCAGTTCCAGATTGTTCCAGTTACACCACGAGGCAAATTGTACAACCTCCTGTCTGTATGCGGATTCGTTGTTGTCTCGAATGAGACCAATCACTGTTGTGTCATCTGCAAACTTAAATATTTTAACAGATGGATCATTTGAGATGCAGTCATTGGTATATAGGGAGAAGTGGAGAAAGCACACAGCCTTGGGGGTGTGGGGTGTTAATTGTACAGGTATCAGATGTGATTCTGTCTAGCTTCACCTGTTGTTTCCTGTCTGTTAGTGCTGGCTGCCTGCAATTTGGCAGTTCAAATCTCATCAGGCTCAAGGTTGATTCAGCCTTCCATCCTTCCGAGGTGGATAAAATGAGGACCCAGATTGTTGGGGGCAATAGGCTGACTCTGTAAATTGCTTAGAGAGGGCTGCAAAACACTGTGAAGTGGTATATAAGTCTAAGTGCTAGTGCTATTCCTGTCATCTACCACTGCTTCTTCACCTATCTTTAAAAATACTGAATTAATATTAGAGAAATATTTCTGAATGCAAACAGAGGACTATCACTGGAGGGCAATAGCAAAATCCATATTTGTGCTGAAGAAGTAGAGCATGCCCGATCATATTGGAGGAGCATGCTCAGAGAATATTTTTTTTTAATATCCCAATCAGTTTGATGTAATAGTTAAAGGCACCGGGGAACTGGGAGACTGTGAGTTCTAGTCCCACCTTGGGCAGTTGATTAACTTTGGGCTAGTCTCTCTCTCTCTCTCTCTCTCTCTCTCTCTCTCTCTCTCTCTCTCCCTCCCTCCCTCTCCCTCCCTCTCCCTCTCCCTCTCCCTCTCCCTCTCTCTCCCCCCCAAGAAGCAGGCAAGGGCAAACTATTTCTGGGGAGAAGAGGGAAACCTTGCCAAGAAAATTTCAGGGGGTTGTTCGGGCAGTTTTTAAGAATAAGACATAACTCAGCAGAAGAGGAAAAAAAAGTTAATTGCAGTTAGTCCTTGACTTATGATCACAATGGAGCCAAAAATTGGTGTTGCTAAGTGAGACATTGATTGATGTCCCATTTTACGATTTTTCTTGCCACAGTTGTTAAGGGAATCACTGTAGTTGTAATGATGTGATTGTTGTGAACCTAGCTTCCTTATTGACTTTGCTGGACAGAAGGATTCAAAAGGGGATCTCGTGATCCGGAGACCCTGCAACCATCATAAATATGAGCCACTAGCCAAGCATCTGAATTTGGATCACGTGCCCATGGGGATGCTGCAACGGTTGTTGCACGTGCAAAAAATGGTCATAAATAACTTTTTTTTCCAGTGTCCTTGTACCCTTTGAACGGCCACTAAATGAATGGTCGTAAGCCGAGGGTTACTTATATTGGGTTCCTCCATTGCTAAGTTCTCCTTACTAGCTCCCTTTCTTGAGAACCATATGAAGAGCCAGAACAGTGGACGTTTTCAGCCATACAACTTCAAGACAAAACTTGGAAGAACCCACAGGTGGCATCTCTGTTTAGTTCAGGTTCTCCGTGCAAAAGGAGGGGGTGGGTAGGTGGGTGGGACTGTCTTTGGGCAAAATAACCTCCTAAAAAATTTGCACCACCGTCTCCACAGTAAAAGCAGCCCCAATTCCCCCAGAAGCAGCCCCACCCACCTTGGGTAATAGAGTCACCGCGATGGCCGGAAAAACCAGGTGCTACTCCATTTGCAGTGAAAGAACTCACCACATCCTGCCCAACTGCTTGTCTATATAGTGTGTTTAACTACCGCCTTTCGTGATGGTATCTCCTAGGACCAGACCATTTTTTGTGGTTAGTGGTCCCTCTTGAGGACTTTGAAGGGTGTCATTGTAATGAAATGTTGTGCTCAGTGGGGCAGGGCTGAAATGTGGGGCCCCTTCCTCTTGCCTTGAGGGCTTTTAAAAGGGAAAAACAGGAGGTTAAGCTGGTCTGAGGCAGCAACTTTTAACTGTAAAAAGTGTTGCTGAAAATTAGCTCTTTACCACCAAATGTCAGGGTACTGCAAACACGAGGGTTTGCGTTTGGTGCAATGTTTTGTCAGACCTGAATTGGGAGGGGGGGGGAGGCGGTAAAGCAATCATTGTAAGAGGCGTGGTGGCACAGTGGTTAGGGTCCAGTATTGCAGGCTAATTCAACTCACTGCCTGGAGTTCGATTCCCACCAGGCTCAAGGCCTTCCATCCTTCCGAGTCGGTGAAATGAGGACCCAGATTGTTGGGGACAATATGCTGACTCTGTAAACGACTTAGAAAAGGCTGTGAAGCAGTATATAATGCTACTGCTGTGCTATTGCTAATGTACTTTTCAAGTTTGCCCTCAGTCCTGAAACTTTGAAACAATATCCTTTATTAAGTTTTTTTTCCATTTATACATAATACCAATACTTATTAAACAGTGCTGTGACATTATATATACATTTATGTATCCTATCTAAACCCACAATACACAATACTTTCATATACTCACATCTGTTATATACATTATTTACATTTTCTATTCTTATATCTATTGTCAATCCAAATATACCAAATTTCCCATATTGCGTTGTATTCCGTGTCTGCTTTCCCTTTTAATTCCATAGTTAATTTGTCCATTTCCACGCACTCTAAATTTTTTTTTATTATTAAACCTTCAGGTGGTATGGAATTTTTCTTCCAGTACTGGGCATAGGAAATTCTTGCTGCTGTTAATACATGTAATATAAGATATTTTATCTTTCTATTATAGGTTTTTTTATTATTCCTAAAAGGACAAAATCAATTTTGTTTTTAGTTAACTCTTCTAACCACATTTGAATCACCTTCCAATATTTTTTTGCTTCGGGGCATGTCCACCAAGAATGAAAGAAGGTACCTTGTTGTTGTCCACATTTCCAACAATTTGGTTTTAAATTTGGATAGATCTTAGCCAATCTTGAGGGTGCCATATGCCAACGATAGAACATTTTATGTTGATTTTCCTATGCCGCCAATTTTTTTATTTTATAATTCACATTCCAAATCTTTTCCCATTCTTCCAGATCAATAGTATGTCCAATGTTCCTACCCCATGCAATAATTGTTCCTTTCACAATTTCTTCTGTTCTATCAAATTCTAATAAATGTTTATATAACTTTGATAATAATTTCTCATCTGGGCCAATCAAGATTTTATCTAGTTTTTGTAATTCATTGTCTATTCCAAATTCCTCACTGTCTTTTTTATATCTTGTTTGTATTTGCATATAGGTCCACCAATCCAATTTTTTCCCTGCTCTTCCAATTTCTGTCTACTCTTTAGATTCCCTTGGTTATCTAAAATTTCCTTATACCTGGCCATTTTCTTAACCTCCATTATATTAGGGGAGATTACTGCTTCCAAGGGA